TTGCTGGGTTAGCTGCTAAAAGTGGAGAGCGGTTTGCTTATGATTCTTATAGACGTTTCTTAGACATGTTTGGAAATGTTGTAAGTGGTTCTTTTACACCCTATGCATTGCTTACTTTTGTAGGTTGTCAACATTTATTTAGCAACACAAACAAACTAACCATAATGAAAACTATAATCCCTTAATGAACGCAGTCTGTTAGTATCTTTCTCTGGAAGTATAAAGTAAAATAGTTGCCTTCCAGTGCTTTTGTTCTAACTGTTCTTTTATGTTACATTGAGGTAATGGACATTCCACACTCATTATTTGAGGACAAGTTAGAAAAATTAAAGAGTGCAAAAGGTGTTAAACTTGACACTGATCTAACAGCCTATGATCTCAAAGATCTTGTTGACCAGTACAAGAATGTCTACCTTGAAGCTAAGGGAGAAAAGTTTCCGTCAGGTGCTGAATGCAGCACCACCAAGTTCTTCACATTTTATTGTTATATATTCTCATCATCCTAGCCAAATTGTTTATATATAAAAGAAAAAAAAAAAGCTCATCCTCTTTATTTATTTATCAAATGCAGATCCAAAGAAGCAGTTAGAACTAGCTGTTAAAGCTGTTTTTAATTCTTGGGATAGCCCAAGGGCTATTAAGTATCGGAACATTAATCAAATAACTGGGCTAAAGGGAACTGCGGTAAACATTCAGACCATGGTGTTTGGTAACATGGGAAATACTTCAGGAACTGGCGTCCTTTTCACTAGAAATCCAAGCACTGGGGAAAACAAACTTTATGGAGAATTTCTAATTAATGCTCAGGTTACATATGATTTACTACTTGTTATTTTTCTTCCATATCATTATCATCTCTATTAATCTCTTGAAGTTATTAATTACTTTTGATTTTGATGTTTCAATAAACAAATGCTGAATTGTTTTTGTTAGGGAGAGGATGTAGTTGCTGGAATCAGGACACCTGAAGATTTGGAGGTCATGAAAACTTGCATGCCAGAAGCTTATAAGGAACTTGTCGAGAATTGTGAAATTCTAGAGAAACATTACAAGAATATGATGGTAAAATTACAATAATTATGACTTACACTGTTTGTATAAATAGACCAACAGGCAAAACTTCTGAAGTTGTGATTATGTTGTAGGATATTGAATTCACAGTACAAGAAAATAGGTTGTGGATGTTGCAATGTCGAACCGGAAAACGTACTGGTAAAGGTGCATTCAAAATAGCCGTAGATATGGTTAACGAGGGGCTTGTTGATGTTCGTTCTGCAATCAAGATGGTAGAGCCACAGCATCTTGATCAACTTCTCCACCCACAGGTATATACTTGTAATTACCATTATCCGTTTATCATGTCATTCAGGTAGATATGGTTAATGAGGTGCTTAACGATGCTCGCTAGATGATTTTTATTTTGTGTTTAATCAATACGTAAATTTATTTTCCATTTATACTCCCCCATTAACTTATCAGATTTAAATGTAAGATACTTAGTATCTTGACTGCTCTGACTTTATTGGATAGTTTGAGGATCCATCTACTTACAAGGACAAAGTGATTGCCATCGGTTTGCCTGCATCCCCCGGAGCCGCAGTAGGACAGGTTGTGTTCACTGCTAATGATGCTGAAGAATGGCATGCACAAGGAAAGAGTGCCATCTTGGTATTCCATTTTTTGCTTTATCATTATTTTTCTTATCTTTTTGTTCCCTTTCTCAATAATCTACTTGTCTAGTTTTAGCTAGGAAAATCCAGAGTTGACTTAGCCACTTAGGTGAAATACTTGTTTACATAAGATAGGAGTTTTATGGTTGTAAGTACTTTGCTTGATTTAGTATCATTCTTGAACTATTGAAGGTGAGGAATGAGACAAGTCCAGAGGATGTTGGGGGCATGCATGCAGCTGCTGGAATCTTGACAGCTAGAGGTGGTATGACATCTCATGCTGCCGTTGTAGCTCGTGGATGGGGAAAATGTTGTGTGTCTGGTTGCTCTGATATCCGTGTAAATGATGCTGAGAAGGTAAACTTGGATATTACATTAATGTTGTGCTATACATACTACTAGTAAATAATCTCCATGCTGGTATTATGTATAATTTGATAATGTAGGTGTTCGTAGTTGGGGATAACGTGATAAGGGAAGGAGAATGGGTCTCACTGAATGGATCCACAGGTGAGGTGATACTGGGAAAGCAGCCACTTTCTCCTCCAGCTCTGAGTGATAATTTAGAAACTTTCATGTCTTGGGCTGATGAAATAAGGAATCTGAAGGTGATGCATGTTCTTTATCTGCTACAGAAGTTGAGTTGAATAAAGGAAAATTTGTTTTCTATAAATTCTCTCACATGTTGTCTATCAGGTTATGGCGAATGCTGACACACCTGAAGATGCTGTAAAAGCTAGACAAAATGGTGCCCAAGGAATTGGACTTTGCAGGACAGAGCATATGGTACAAACTAACCTTCTACTCCTTGTTATTATATCAGAATGGAAAGTGTGAATAGTGAATATTAATTTCCTTAAAGCGGGTTAATTGTAATTCTGCTATAATAACAAAGTTCAGCGATGTTCTCCTTTAAAAAAATACAATAAAGATATCCTCCTTACAAGCTAAAAGTTGAATTAATGAATTTCTTTTAACCTTGTTATAAGTAATCCAAAAGCAAGCACACACATTCAATGACACTGTAACACACTTGTGTAGTCATATACTCGTATGCATGGACATGACACTTGAAATGAACATTTTCATTCTTTTTTGCTAATCAACACGGTGTAGTTACAAATTATATGATTTTCTTTTTGCATGTTTTGGTGTATTGTAGTTTTTTGCTTCAGACGAGAGGATAAGGGCTGTGAGAAGAATGATAATGGCGGTTACACTGGAGCAGAGGAAAGCTGCACTAGACCTGTTGCTACCTTATCAAAGATCAGATTTTGAGGGGATCTTCCGGGCAATGGATGGTCTCCCAGTAACAATCCGATTGTTAGATCCTCCTCTTCATGAATTTCTTCCAGAGGGTGACCTGGAACACATCGTCAGTGAACTAACTTCTGAGACTGGAATGAAAGAAGAAGAAATCTTCTCTAGGATAGAAAAACTATCAGAAGTGAATCCTATGCTTGGTTTTCGTGGTTGCAGGTTTGTTCCAATCTCATGATGCTTGTCTTGTGTATGGCAGATAACTATTCATATAATATGGCTGATGATAGTGTTGAATTCAGGAAGTTCATGTCTGATTTACAGTTCCTCATATTTGGCAATTGAAATTCTGTGAACAGGCTGGGAATATCGTATCCAGAACTGACTGAGATGCAGGCCCGTGCAATCTTTCAGGCTGCTGTTTCAGTGAGTAACCACGGTATCACAGTTCTTCCAGAGATAATGGTTCCACTTATTGGCACACCTCAGGCATGATCATTTTTCTTATTTCTAGTTGTTTGTCCTTCAATTTGCTTCCCATGTATGTAGTCATGCATGAATATAATTTATGAGGAAAATCTCAAACCACGTTTTACTTTGAAACATCGTCTTGTATAGTATCCCTTTTTCCTTAACAATACGTCTCTTGAAATGCCCTTTGATGTAATTATTACGAGATATAAGCCCTCGAATTTAATTGGCAGGAATTGAGGCATCAAGTGAATTTAATAAGGACTGTTGCCGATAAAGTGTTGTCTGAGATGGGTTCTTCTTTAAGCTATAAGGTCGGAACTATGATTGAAGTTCCAAGGGCTGCACTCGTTGCAGATGAGGTAACATTTATATCCTGATTTCTTGAAGATTCATTCAAACTGGGAAAATATTTAAGAATGTGATAAAGAAAAACAGTCTTATTCACCATTTCACTTGGGTTGTTATCAGCATCATTAGACTGAGAAGTGTATTATAAATTTACAATAATTTCAGCTCAACATTTAAAAGGATCATGTTGTCCTCTTGTTATTTACACTGTAATTTTATAATTGGTTCATCTAGATTGCAAAGGAAGCAGAGTTCTTTTCATTTGGAACCAATGACCTTACTCAAATGACATTTGGATATAGTAGAGACGATGTTGGCAAATTTCTTCCTATATACCTAACCTCTGGGATTCTGCAGCATGATCCATTCGAGGTTAGTTAGTTGTTTAATGGCTAATGTTTGTTTGCTCATTTTCTCATTCCACAAAAGACGGTTGATGAATTTGAATTGTGGACAACCATTGCAGGTACTTGACCAGAAAGGTGTGGGTCAACTCATAAAGATTTGCACAGAAAGGGGTCGTGCTGCTAGACCAAACTTAAAGGTAGGACTAGGAGTAAACAAAGTTTTGTGACACCACTTAGTCATTTATTCTTATAATATCAAATAATAATATGGCGTATTGATTTTAGGTTGGAATATGTGGAGAGCACGGTGGGGAGCCTTCTTCTGTTGCATTCTTTGCTGAAATTGGACTTGACTATGTTTCATGTTCTCCCTTTAGGTCAGATTTTGAGTTCAACGTTATCCGAAAATGAAAATTTAGTATTTTCCATTGTGAAAGTGAAATAAGAGAGGAGTCTTTTGCAGGGTTCCAATTGCTAGGCTTGCAGCAGCTCAAGTTGCAGTTTAAGAAAGTGTTACATCTCTACAACTGTGAATAATGGTGATTCATCATAAGCAATAAATCAGAATTGGAGGAAGACGTGAGATAAAGGAATGCTGCTAAGTGCTAACATACTTATAGAAGGAAAATTAATATTTTCTCTTTTACCGTGTCATGTCATAAAATAAGACTCGTTCTGTAAAATTCTTTCGCATGTTGTAATGTATTCTATCACATCACATCACATCACCAATAAAATCTTGATAAATTTCCTCTATTTTTAGCAATTAGCATATCTCGTTTTGTTGAATGTGAAGTTAACGCAACTAAAGATTAATATGAAACTGAAGAAGTAGGGTTGGGTTGGGTTGGGCTGGGCTGGGGCGGGCCCATCTAGTAATTTCAATTTAAGTGGAGGTGGAAAAGCAAAAGCTGAAGCGAAAAGAATGGGGTGGGAGAGCTACGTGGTGGTGCACAACATAGCGAAGAGGCACAACGTGGGAACACTGGCTCGTAGTGCCACCGCGTTTGGCGTATCGGAACTTATCCTCGTTGGTCGCAGAGACTTCAACTCTTTCGGGAGCCATGGCTCCTCCTCCCACCTTGGATTTCGACACTTCCACTCCCTGCAAGACGCTCGCAACTTCCTCAAAGACAAAGACTGTGATATTTGCGGAGTTGAGATCACACACGATGCTCTCCCTGTCAATCGCCATCCTTTCACTAAGACCACCGCATTCCTACTCGGCAACGAAGTACCTCTCTTTCTCTTTCGCATCAATTTCAATTTTCACTCTTTGCTTTTCAACATTTTTAGGTTTTTTTCTCTCTCTCTAGGGTACTGGCCTTTCTCCTAAAGAATGTGAAATATGCGACTTTTTCGTCTATATCCCGCAATATGGCGGGGGGGCCGCTACTGGCCTTTCTCCTAAAGAATGTGAAATATGCGACTTTTTCGTCTATATCCCGCAATATGGCGGCGGCACTGCTTCCTTGAATGTTACTGTAGCTGCTTCCATTGTACTCCATCATTTTGCAGGTTCCTTTCTTTCTCTCCATTAGTCTCTATTACTTTCTTTTATACATCTGCTTATGCCAACTTTAGTTCCATTGTCTGTACTTCTTGCTAGTTGCAAAAATTGCTATTCAGCATAAATTATTCATTTGATGCTTATACTTCTTCCATTTTAAAATTTTAGTCCTTGTATCAGAAAAAAAAAATTAAGTTTTAATCCCTGTGCGTGCATGTTTCTCTAAGTTTTAGGGACTAAAATTTAAAATGAAGACAATTGTAGGAAATCTAACCATTGTAGTTTACATGTCCTGATGAATCTCTCAAAATGAATACTTCAGAGGTACATCCAGTACAATGGGCACATATGATATTGCCCGTTTAATTATTGTTTATGTACCTATTCTTTTAGTCACCTTAAGCATTTGGAAAATTATATTCGACAGCTTTATGGAAGGTTCATTACTTCAGTCTAACTTAAACGTTTGCTTCTGATAAGAATCACAGACAGATAGGCAATTAAACTATCCAATTTGTTATACAATCTAGCTCATATTCGTTTTGATATTTAGTTCCAACTCCTTTTGATATATTTCACATAATACTGCAGTTACTGAACAATATTTTTTTTTTTTGCCAGTCTGGGCAGGTTTTACAGAGAGATCTCGTGATGGAAATAAATTTGTTGTGGCTGAGAGACCCGTAAAACAGAATCGACGAAATTACTGCACTGAAGCAGAAGAATCTATCATTGAAGAGCGTAAAGCTAGAAGAGAAAATGCTGCCAATGGTTTCTTTGATGAGACTGAGAGTGGCAATTCATCTTCAAACCTCCTTGATGCACTATTTGTTGATGATTGATGGAAAATGTATGATTTATTGATCTTTGGGATTGTTGGTTTATGACTTAAATGCTTCAGTTGCAATAGAGGATAAACAACATCTTGTCTATTTAATGGGGATTGGGGAAAACCGACTATTACATGGCTGGCTTTTATGCAACATTTCAAACAGAACCATTAGCTGGAGGAAGGTCACTACTGAGATTAGGAATGTATAATGTAACAAATGGTGAGTTTGCTACCACTGCAACCAGCGATAGGATATGAAGTTGTTAAAATCAATATTGTTCTTGTAACATGATAGTGCCATTTGCTTTACTGGTGATTATTAAAACCGCTTAAATGATAGATGTATTCCTGAGGTATTCTAGTAGATATTACATTGTACTTTGTTTCTGTGAAAATGATTTACTGAGGATTTCTGGCTTGTATGATGGATAATGGTCCTCGCTTAAATTTATATAACAAATTTTACAATTTAGAATTTAGAAGATAGAAGTATCGTGTAATATGAGTGGTGCAATAAAAATTGAGAGAAAATAATGTTTGGAAAAAAAACCTATTTAAAATGTTATATAATACTGTAATAGATCCGAGCAACCAGGATGCGGGTTTTAACATCACTGCGGGACAGGGGATTAAGGTGTGGCATTCATTGAACCTACTGAGAGAAATTTTTACCATTGGATTTATTTAGAAAAAAACTTAGTTACATTGCAGATGAAACATAACTATTCAACATGATCTCGACACTTGTCTTACTTCCAAGATTAGTGTGTACTACTCTGGTTGGGTCAATTGAAGTTTAAGGAGAAGTTCAACAATGTGACTACTATCATAGTGTAGGGCATCGAATGTTTTGGTTTGGATGAGGGTATGTCCTGTCTGAGACCCAACAATGTTATTGCAATAAGCAAACCATTACAGCAAGCTCTAGACAGACTACGGCAGCGTATGTTTTTTCACATTTCAGATGTCATTTTCTAAACATGAAATTTTAGTTCTCAACGTGTTTTTAAACTAGCTATAATTGGCTCGATTTTTTTCTTAACGTGGGACTCGCGACCTGAACTATTTTTAACAAATAAGAAATTTGTAATGTATTTTATTGAGAAAAGGACATTAACTTGCTAAGATTGATATTGGTTTAATGCTTTTTCTAGTTACCTTGTTACCAAGGTGAAGTTTTCAAACTTCATTTTTTTTTATTCATGTGTTGATTATGAGATCTTGCTTAAAAGATTCAAATTCAATTTCACTTGCTCAATATAATGTTGGTAAATATTTTTCACATTCAATTATATTGAAATAAAAATTTGACTAAAGTTCATTCGAAAACTTGTCTCTGCAAATTAAGATTATAAAATTTGTAATAAAATTAGAACACAAAATTATCGATTACAATTCTATAAAATAGTTTTTCAAATAAATAAAGATTTATATATGATATACATTTGTATTAGTATTATTCATCAACTACATTTGTTTCATGTAAAGTCGGCGTGCGTTGAGAGGAATTAATAAGGGTACATGTCAGTAGAGATTTGAAATGAAGATTAAGAAGCAAACAAGGGCAAGTGAAGTTTGGAGAAATAATGATTTGAAAGCATGCATGCATGCAGGTACATAACAAGCTAAGACTAAGCAGTGTGGTTTGGAATTTGTGGAGGTGCAGTAGCATTGGATGTTGGGGAGGTACCGGTGTGGTTAGGATCAGAAGTTAAAGGGTATCCAATTCCATGGCGTTTAGAGGGGGAAATGACGAAGTTGCCACCCGCTAATACCCCAACAACCGTGGGCAGCACCTGCAGCAGAATCTTCTGAGTTGACTCAAAACCGGGATAGAGACAGCGCACAGTGTTAGTGTCCAACAGCGCCAACACCGCAAACACTAACAAAGATAACGCAGCATGCACAAAGTCTCCAAACTTGAGTCTGTAGCCTGACAAGTCAACGGTGTTGGCTGGTGGAACGGAAGAAGGCCACAACCCCTTAGAAGTTACGATGGCGTAGTGCCTCTGGTTGTCAGTGCCTGTGTAGCTGTCGGTGAAGGAAGAAAAGACGCAACTAAAGGCACATGCCACCAGAAGCATGACGCTGAGGCACTTGTAGGTAGCGTTGCATTCACCGCTGTTGCTCAAAACGGGGTTCAGGAACTGGAACACGAACACTGTGCCTGTTGGGAGAAGCTTTATGAAGTTGCCAACTGCAGAGAGTGCCGTGTTTGTCACATCTCTACCTTGCTTTTGGTTTTGAGAGCTACTAAGAAAGGGTTCCGATGAAGATGAACTATCTCCGTTCATTTGTTTTTTTCTCTAGCTATGTTATAATGAATCATGATACACTTAATTTGTGTTTTTTGTCTCCATTGTGTTGATCTTATAGAAGCAGAAATAGCCACGGAGTTGGTTGATTCTAGGTGAAATTAATGGCCTCTATTCTAATTCAATTAGAACGATTCAGAGGAGCTACCTTTGAAATTCCTGCACACTATATTTTATATAGCAATTTGCAATGCCATGCGCATTGAACCATTCCAGAATTAAGTTCAAAATGAAAGGTCAGACAAAAAGTCAAACAAAAACTTTTTTGTAAATTAAAAAGTAAAAAGTAAAAAATTCAAAATCAAAAAGGAAATAAAAACAGAATTAAACAAATCCTTAACTATATATTAATTTGATATTTAATTAATATTTATGATTTTTATATTTTACCCTCTCTATAAAATGCATCTCGTATTAATTATTAAAAAATCAATATTTGAATACAAATTCACGGAATTATTTAGTAATATCTTTTGGAAAGCAATCTCTTGTCAACATTTTGAATAAATATTTATCTAAATATATTATTAGTACACACGGGTGTTTAACTAACATGGCATTGGTACAATGGAAACTACATTATTTATTTTTAAATAAAATTTTAAATTTGAGTCTTAAGAAAAATAAATTTTCGGTCAATTTCTTAAAAAAAATAGTCATCAATAAAATTAATGAATATTTAACACCAACTTGAAGACAGAAAGAAGAAAAAAAATAACTTAGACAAGTCTTGAATACTCTCGTCTTATTTAATTTGAAGTGCCTCCTATGATGATAATCTTAAAATTTCGCAACTAATGAGGTTTTGTTTTCATCTTATTAGAAAATACTCTTTTAAAATAAGAAATTTAATAGGAAATAAAAAATCGTCAATTAATATTAGTATAAGTTACTGTCATTGTTTAATATCTCCTATATATTAAGTCAGTGAAACTGGCGTATCATTAATATTGATGGTGGTGATCGAGTACCATTATATTCAACATTGTCAGCCCATTTCAAATAAACTTTAACTAATCCATGGGTTGAAAAATAATTAGTGTCTAAGGATCTATCTTCTCTTGTTGAACTAATTCATGGTACAAGTTTAAATATGGTGAATGAAGTTCTGATATCACTAGATATTTGCAGATGATGTGACAAACAACAATTGTTAAAATTATACTTTAATATCTTTCTTTTAATGTGAATTTTGAGTTTAATCAATCATACAAAAATTGTCCCTCCCCTACCAACAGTGAGTGTGAGATCTAATAAGAATGGTCAGCGATATAACCATTCTATTTTCTTTCCCCGTGTGTGTGTGTTTGTTTCCCAGTCATTGACTTTGAAATACGGCTAACTGCTTGAGTTGATCTTTCGCCACTATCAGTTATGTAATCTGTCAATAATCAATACCTCTTAGACGGAGAGAAAACTCCTGCATGGATGTAATGAAAAGAAATAATAATAATAATAATAATAATAATAATAATAATAATATAATCGATTAGTTTAAAAATATTAATATGTAATGGTATTTAAAAGTTCACAATGATATTACCATACTCATCAACACAATAAAAACATAATAAAAGCATACACATTTAGTTGTATGTTATTTTTATTTTATTTTAAACTTAATTGAGAATATTTTAAGTATATAATATAAAAATAATAATAGAATGTACAGTATAAAAAAATAATAATTGAAACTAAAAATGTATTTAAAATAATTGATCTTTACATAAAAAATTATAAGAATTTTAAATTGATTAAAAAACTAAAATTTATAATATGCAAAAGTATATATATATAAGCAGAGTAAAAGTAAGAGGTTATGATTAACTGAAATAATAATTGATAATAAAAAATTTGACAAAATGATCGTTTATCGTCAGAAAATAAAATTAACAAAATTTGTATCATTAAATAAATTTAAACCATTCAATTTAATTATTTATATATACTTTTCCACGAATAATATATATAAAAATCATTCTTGTTTTGTTGTTCCCGTACGTCGTGAACTACATAAGTTATAACTTGACTGTAGATTATACCTAAGAAGATCTACCGGACAAATACATAAAGCCATCCTAAAGTCGCCGAAAAGCAAAAGACAATTCTTCACTTTCTGGTTACATCATTACATGCATTGGAAAAAAAAAAAAAGAAATCCTAATAATGCTAAACACTGTTGTTGGGATTTTGTTGGGGAGATGCGGTAGGAGTAGGATTGGGTTTAGAGGTGGTGTCGTTAGAATCAGAAGTTAAAGGGTATCCAACTCCATGACGATCATTAGGGAAAATCGTGAACAAGAAACCCGCAACCGCCCCAATAGCCACGGGCAGCACCTGAAGCAGTTGCTTCTGAGTCGACTCAAAATCAGGGTAGAAGCAGTGCACAGTGTTTGAATCCAAGAGCCCCAACACCGCAAACACCAACAACGACAACGCAGCATGCACAAAATCTCCAAACTTTAGTCTGTACCTTGACAAGTTATCGGAGTTGGCTGCTGGAACGGAAGAAGGCCAAAGTCCGTTACAGGTTACGAAGCCGTAGTGCCTCTTCTCGTCAGTGCCTGTGTAGCTGTCGGTGAAGGAAGAAAAGGCGCAACTTAAGCCACATGCCACCAAAAGAACGGAGCTCAGCCACTTGTTCGTGGCGTTGCATTTCCCGCTGTTGGTTAAAACGGGGTTCACGAATTGGAACACGAACACTGTTCCTGTAGGGAGCAGCTTTATGAGGTTGCCAACTGCTGAGAGTGTCGTCGACGTAGTTGTTCTACCTCCGCTTTTGGTGCTACTACTTGTCTTCTCGGATGAACTGTCTGTAACCATTTTTCGTTTTTCTTTCTTTTCTTTTGCTTTACTCTTTTGTTTTTCTTTCTCTGCCTGTTGCGCGTCTTCATCTTATATAGATGCAGAAACAGTAGAGAGTTGGCTGATTCCACGTAAATATGGTAGCAATTGGAATGACTCGGGACTCGGGTATTCGTTAATTGTAATTTGCTTAGAAATTTCTGCAATTATTATCTTAAGACCAAGACATTTACTGCGTACAGTAATTGCATACTCCATGCCATGCACTTTGAACCGTTCCAAAATTAAAGTCAGACGAGGACAAAATACACACGCACACAGAACAAGTCAAATAAAAATCACAAATTAAGTGGTAGCAGACACATTAAAGGTGGTTGGTTTTTCATTTAAATGAAAAATGAATCAAATTTTCAATATAGGCCGGAAAAGTAGGTACTATATATCTATTATCGGCAATTTCTTTCGTGTAAGTTTTATTTAGAGAATATTAATATCTCCTCAAACTTTCATCATTTAAACCCTAAATCCTAAATCCTAAACCTTAAACCCTAAACCCTAAACCCTAAACCCTAAACCCTAAACCCTAAACCCTAAACCATCACACTACGAAACAACACTACACACTATTAGAATATATATACTAAAATAATATAACAAAATATTTACAACACAAGTTGTTAATCAAGCAACCAACATCAATCAATTATATACAACAAAATATGCTACTATAAGGTAGCTTACAAAAAAAAATATTCATCTCCAAGCACCTCTTGTGGCCTCTTACAGCTATCTCCTAGCCTATTCCTGCCCTACTCCCATACAATGTATGATTATCGCAGTCTAAATCACATGAAAACATGCAAGGGTAAGCTAGAGACAATAAACAACTCATAAATATCAAATATGAAACACAACTACATAATCATCTTCACATCCAACACAAAAGATAAACAACACATATATTATACATCTTAACATCATTTCAACTTGATTCCACATATCAACGCTGTATCAACACTTCAACGCAACTACTGTACAAACTATTGGAATAGTTATCATATTCATCATAACAACAACCAATACATGTGTTACACACCTCTCAACAACACATGTTTAAAACAACTTACAACACAGGTAATCTAGCGACACCAGCATCATCATCAACTTGTATACAATTAAGCAACTTACAACATAACAACACTATCATCATCCTCAACAGGATCAACATACAACACAATCACAGCTTAACAACACAACAACATAGATACAACTCTTATCAACAACAAATCAACTCATCAACAACTTATGCGTTGTCACGCATTTCAACTCGGAGATCTCCTACAACATGGTAAGTAGTTTAAGTGGCTAGGTCCTACCAAACCGACAACACATAACCTTTTTGGGCTTGCTAGGTAAACAACAAATTTGGATAGAAATCCACAACACGATAACGATTTCTTAGACTTTGCCACTTAAACAAGGAAGTATAGTACTCGATTAGGAACTAAGTTCCCGACTTCATACTATACTCAAATTGGTCGCTTTGTACTCGGTATAGCTCGACCTTGCCCGTGGTCGCTTTGTAATTGATATAGCTCGACCTTGCCCCTATTGGTCGCTTTGTACACCTGTGCCTCGACCTTGCCCACACACGGGACGAACTAAGTCGTAGAGGAGAACAACACAACGTCCACTCCAAGGGACAACTTCCCAATGAGGGTTTTCAAAAAATTGGGCTCTCAGAGCAACACAACTATCTCAATCCGCACAATGGGATGAGCAACTTCGAAAGCATCTCCTCTAGTCCTAGTGATCAACAACTTAACATCACAAATGAATCAACTTACAACTCAACAGCACAGCTCAGCTTAACAACTTAAACAACACACAACTTTCAACTCATCATCTCAATCAACTTTAAACAACACAATCAACTCAATAGCTTATTAGCTCAACTCATAATTTACAACTCAATCATCATAAATAATATCTTTTCAACACATGGCACAACATACAACTTTATAGCAACATACAACTCTTCTCTAACAACTTAACAGCATAAGCTGCTAATAAAGTTTGTATAAATCTCAACACGTCTACACATTTCACATCATGCTTCTCACAACTCACAACATTATCATTTCATCATATTTTACAACATATAAATAATTCACACATAAATATAGCAACTTTAGCAACATACCATGTTTTCAACGCATTTTCTATTTGGTACAACTACTCATTTTGTTTACAACACTATACTCAACATGCATCTCTTCATTTCACTTTCTACTCATCATACATCTCAATGTAATTGTACAACTCCATATGAGTTCCTAAACTCACATACAACCAAATAACATACAATCTAGCTTCCCTTACATGAAGATTAGCTCAGAATATAGCCAAGAACTGAGAAGAAGTGGAATTTCCTTTCCGAAGCTCAACTTGGGACTTCAATCCACCCAAAGCAAGCTTCCTAGTCCAGACTCCTTCTCTTTAAAACTTCTCTCTAAAAACCTCTCCTTCTACTCAACTGCACAACCTCTATTTATAGAAGTCTGAAGTGGTCAGAACGACCCGTTTCAAATCTGGAACGGTCCGTTCTAGGCTCCTTCATCATGTGTAAAATTCACATGCAGAACGACCCGTTCTGAAACCAGAACGGCTCGTTCTGGCACGTCTAGAACGGCCCGTTCTAAAACTGGAACGGCCCGTTCTGGAGTTGAATTTAACTAATAATGACCATTTTGGAACGGCCCGTTCCAGTCTACTAACTACGTTACATTATGTGTGATTTTTATTAGGTTTATTATTTTATAAATGTTTTAAATTTTACATATTATTCCCTCGTTAATTTATTATATTTTGGAAAATAATCCTACATTACTACCATGTTTTTGACCTTCCAATTTCATTCTCTTTCACAAAAATATCTTTTTCTCTTGTTCTCTCTCTAAAAAAGCACCAACAGAGACATCAATTTCACCATTTACAACAATAAAAACTTTTTCAACTAAAAAACTAGTCAACTCGACTCCTTCAAGAACTACTCTGATAACCAGCACAAAAACGACCCCCAAAACAATTTCCGTCAATACAACAAAGTCTCCACAAACCACAATGATGCTTTCTTTAGCTATGGATCCTTTGGCAACGTCATAAACGACACCTTCCGCAACTACGACGACGGAGCCACTATCAACGCCTCCACTTAATTTCGGCAACTATGCGAAGCCTGTTAACGGCTTCGACAACTTAGAATTCGCCTCCTACTCTGGCGATCGCAAAGGAAGATCTCAATCCTTTGCCAGATACACCAAGAATGATAATGACAGAGAACAATCCTCCTGTAATCCTTTCTCTTCCTCTGAAGCTTCAAGGTTCAACTCACTTTGTCGTTTGTTTCCTTCAAAAAGTCACCAAAAGTTTCATCTTTTTATTCCTTTTCCTCTCATTTTGTTGATAAATTGCGCATCTTTTACATACCCACATGCAAATTTTGTTGCTGTGAATTTTTTATTTTGTTTTTCTATGTCCTGGGGTATTGCTCATGATGATTTTATAGAGTTTTCTTTTCTACATCTTATGTGTAGTGTTCTTCTGTTGAAAATCGTCAAAATTAGAAAGAACTATTTTTGTGAGAGAAAATGAAACCAAAAGTTTAGAGACATGTAATTAATGTATGATTAATATTAAAGGAATTACCTTAAAGGAATTACCTATTATTATCCTAGATGAAATTTGAATAAGACAATATTATCAAATGATAAATCCAACAAAATTTGATAGAAAAATTAAAATGGTTAACGTATGAAAGTGGAAGAGATAAAAACAAAAAAGCCGCCAAAACCCAATCAACATGACGTTGTTTCAGGGATTTAATTAACAGTCTTAAACGTCATATAGGATAAGTTAGAAGAATAAGCTGTTATGAAGTCACACTCGTGTAAATGGAGGAAACAGATAAAAATAATATATATATATATATATATATATATATACACACGAGGGGATTATAATTACCTAAAAACAAAATTGACGTAATATATTCATTTTAAAATATAAGAACACTTTGGTTACCTTTAAATTGTTGTTCAATTTTAACAAAATTTGATATACGCTTATAAAGTTATATAAACTTTCAATCTAACGGTTGAATTTACAAAATTCACAATTAATATAAAATTATTGAGCGGTGTAATACTTAGTAAAAGTTACACCGATATTTTTTTTGGTAATGATAGGAAAGATTACAAAGATGGTCGCAATGAAGATTGAACCTAGGTCCTCATGCTTCTAACTACTCCAACCCCTCCCCACCCAACTACTAGGCTAACCCTAGTGGTCTTAAAGTTACATCGATATATATATATATATATATATATATATA